CTCTCCCCACAGAGGAGGTCACTGAAGTGCTTTAAGCAGGGAAGTGGGGGTGGTGGGTGGTAGTGACACACTCAGAGAAGATCCTGCATTTTTTAAAAGAACCCTGTGGCTGCTGTGAAGAGAGGAAGGGAGGTGGGGGAGGCAGAATGGATCTGGAGAGACGAGTGAGAAGGCCGGTCCTGGGAAGAGATGATGGTAGCTGTGGACTAGGGGGGGCACACTGAGAACATGGAGAGGAACAATCGCCAGAAGCTGGTATCCGACTAGATGCTAGGATGGGGAGAGAGAGGTGGGAGAGATGACTTCTGGGTTTTGTTGGCTGCAAGGCTGGATGGGTGCTGGTGCTATCCAAGGAGGTGGGGGAACCCTGGAGATGCACAAGGCAGCCTCAGACTTGGCTAGTCTGTGCTGTTGGGGTATCGGAGTGGAGGGGGCCTGCAGGCAGATACGGATTTGCAGCTTGGAGAGGAGGCTGGAATTGGAAATGTAAATCTGCGAATCTGCCTGTGGGTGGAAATTGAAGCCATGGGTTTCAGGAGAGTACAGTGAGAGGAGGAGAGTCTGGGAGAGAACCCTGTGGAACACAAAGCGAACAAGGAGGAGCCGGAGCTGGGTTCCTTCCTTGGGCATAGGAACAGGAGTCCGCCAAGTCGCTAGGTGGAGCAGCCGGACAGGTATGAGGAGAACCAGAGCTGGGTCGTGGAGGTCTTTGAGAGAATTGTGAAAAGCAGCCTGGAATGTGTGGCCAGTTGAGGTGCCGAGGGCTGCGGGTAACGGGCCGATCCAGTTGACTTAAACAAGTAAAGACACTCATGTCACACACCATGAAGTCCAGAGGCAGCATAATGAGTGGGCTTTAGGGCGGTTTTTTCGGCACTCCCTGATGTCATCCGGGATATGGGCTTTTTCCATCCCTCTGCTTTGCTCTCCAGGGTGTGGGCTTCAGGCGAAGGCTGGTTCCTTTCATGGTCACAAGATGACATGCTTCCCTGTTCACATTCAGGGGGAAGAGAGACTTGGCTTCCTTTCTCTTAAAGGAGAGGGAGAAGCGAACTTTCCTGAAAGCTTCCAGTGAGCCTCTCCTCAAGCTTCTTTGGCCAGAATTGAGTCATAGACCCATTTATCAGCCCACGGGGGACAGGATTACTCTTCGACCAGTCAGGACCACCCCTTAAGCTGATGTTCAGTTCCCAAATTGCATGGCTGCCAATCAAGGAGGGAAGGACGGGAGGTAGAGAGTGGGTACCCAGCAGCCATTCCCACCTCCCTCTAGGGTGCTTTCTGTATTGTATGTTGCAGAGTTAAAAACTACATTTCTCAGACTTCCCTGCAGCAAGGATAATGACAGTGAAATTGGGCTTGGCCAGTTAGATGCACTTCTGTGGAGTTTGGATGGTGGAAGTGGGCAGGCGCCATTTTCTTAGTGCCTTGTCTCTGGCTGCTGGCAAGGTGGTCATGGAGCCCCAAGTTTTCTGTACTGGTGTTCTAGTGTTGAGCTGCCAGCACAGTGGGAGACAGGAGACAGTTTGAAAGGCGGTGGCAGGGGCCTCCTGATTCCTGGGTCCCACCAATAGTGCTGTGTTCCTGAACTCAGTAGTTCCAGTGAGCCGCCTGATGCCCCTGCCTGGTTTTGGAAGAGGTGGCAGCTCCCCTGGTGGGCCAGTTCTGTGGGGAATTTCTAGGGGGTCCAGCTGAGGGCTCTCCCCTTCAGTCCTTCCCACAATTTTGTCAGCAGCCAGTTCCCCGTGTTAAGCACTTTCTGCTTTAAGGGGATTTAATACATGGAATGAGATGTTTATAAAATGTGGGTCTGGAGTGGGTTCTGCCCCCTGGATCTGAAGCAGATGTAAGTGATGCAACCTCAGGTCCGAAGCATTGTGTAGCCACAGAGGACTGTGTGTGGCTGGCGAGGGAAGGCAACAGGTTCCTGGGCTCCTCAAAGCCCCATTGGAGATTGGGAAGGGGGGCAAACTGCTCTCATTGCTGGAGTCATGTAGCACATCGCTCAGATTATAGCTGCCTGTCCAGGGGTATGTGAAGAGAAAGGCAGATGAGCACCGGTTGAAGGTCTAAAAGTTGAGTGTACTGCTCACAAAAGGAGGCATCCCAAAAGATGGCTCCAGGGGAGATGGAGTTCCAGCCTGCAGCCTGGCACCCAGCCCTCAAAGCACATGGGCCTCACCTCTCAGTGGGTCCATGCTGGGTAGTGGAGTTAAGTGACATGTTGTGATGGTCCCCAGTGAGGTTTTTAGTAAGGCAAGGACCTATTTGTATTTTGAAAGATCACCAAGGTAGCTGGCAAGGAGGATGGATTGGCTGTTCAACATCTTCCTGAACACTTTTGAAGACAAGTCGTTCACTGGCTCTAGGGGCAGCTTACTGTTTTGGGACAACTTTGCCTGCTGAGCCAAAGTTGACCTTTTTGCATGCATGTACTTGCTCAGGTGTGACCAATAGGGCTGGCCAGAAACTCGGCCAAAGCAGCAGGGGATGAAATGGGGAAGAAATAGGGGTTGTAAACTGGCTGTCAAGAGACAAATCTGGCTCACGGTTGTTATTTGTTTGGCAGGTATAGTTAACTTGAATTCTCTAAGGTGAGACACAATCTTTCCTGTTAATCACAGGTTCCAACATTCCCTAATGTATTAAAGGAACCTGCTTCATTCATGCTATTAATCTGGTTCTTGAAATCTTTGAGTTTGCAACCCCAGTATTTGAGGAATATTTAGGACTGAGGATGCCTGGGACTCTGTGGATGTCAAAGGACACCCTAACCCACCCCCACCCCCCAGAGTGTGTGACCCCTGGTGGCAGCTACAGGGTGGTCAGGCTAGAGGGAGGGAAATGGAGTGGAAAAAAATCTAGCTGCAATTAACAAGATTAATATGTTTAAAAAAATGTAAAAAGGAAAAAAGAAAAAAAATCCAGCTGCCCGCCCTGCCCACACCCCTCCCCAGTGACAAGATCTAGAGGCTCTGGTGAGTGGCCAAAGTCCCTTTAATATCCCTGAATTGCGTTACAAGTAATACTGCTGGAGGTGAGGAAGGATGGGGGTCTGGGGTGCGAGTTGGGGGAGAAGGAAGAGGGAGGGGGAGCGCCAAGCGCTCATACAAAATATGGCCAAAAGGCTTAGCATGCATGGAAAATTATTGCTGTCGGAAGTTCCTATTTACAGGGTCAACACCCTCCGTAATTGCTTCTGCGACCCCTCTCCCTCCCCCCATCCCTGCTGCCTCCCTTCCCCGGGCGGGCCTGGAGCTGAGAAGCCCTAGAGAAGTGCCCCTGCTCCAGCGGCCCCTCCAGTCTCCACCCTCCTTTGTGGCTGGTGGGGGAGAGAGGGAGGGACTCCTGCCCCCAGAGCTGGGCGCCTAGTGATGGGGCAGAGGCGTGTGCTTAATTAAAGCAGAGGGGGCCAGGGCCCGTGAGCGTGGAGGTGTGTGCTTCGGTCCTCGCCCGGGCATGCAAAAGCGCGGCGGGGGAGGTAGTGGCGGCCACCGGGGCGGGGCAGCTGGCAGCCCTGGCCCCTCTGCCCGGGAGAGTTGCATAGAAGTGGCCGGGAGGGAGCGCTCCTCCCGGGAGCGGAGCGGGCCGGAGGCCCCAGCGGGGTCCGGGGCTCAGTCGGTCCCTGGAACCTGGGGTCCCTCGAGAAGAGGAATAAATAGGAAACAAATCGAGGAGACTCCTCTCTCCGGTCTCCCTGGAGTGGGAGTGGAAGGCTCAGGAGGGCGGGGACCTGCCCCATGACTGGACCTCCTCATACCCCTCCCCCTCAAGTTGAGGGTCAGCAGGCTATCCCTCCCATTCTCGTGCCCCCTTCTCCAGTGAGTTCAGGCTCTGATGAGGGTGAGGCTTCTCCCTCACTCCCCAAGAGGGGGGGGGTGTGTGTGGTGGGGGGACAGCCTTTTATGGCCTTTGCTGTCCCTCTCCTTGCCTGGTTCCCTGACCTCCCAGTCCAGCTGGGGAAGCCAGACAATCCCTGGGTGAGGCCAAGAGATTAAATATAATAATAAATAGATAAATAATAAACAAATAAATAACTGGAGAGGCCCAGCCAGACAGGGGGAAGGGCATTTGTGAGGTGCCCCAGACTCCCCCAACAAATAAGGAGGGGTACCTGTAGTCCTGGGGGTGGGGGAAAGTGCTCAGAGAATCTGGGGAGAGGGCGGCTAGAGGCTGGAAGCCCAGGGAGGGGCTGTCCTGGGGTGAGAGGAGGACTACGGTAGGGGGCAGGGCCTGAACTGCCCCTCAAGTCTGCCCCAGGTCAGGTGAACTCAAAGGGGTGAGAGTTGCTGGAGGGTTGAGGGGGTCTGGAGAGAGTAGGGCGTGGGAGTGGTTGAGAAGGCCCCAGGAACTAAGCGGGAAACGTATGTGAGAGTGGTGTAGGGAGGGGGGTGTGAAAGGCTGGACCTAAGGCCAGGGTACAGAGGCGATCAGGGACAGACTGGGGACTCCCAAGAGGGATGAGGATTAGGTCCCTAGATGGGCACACGTACAGCAAGACTTGGCAGAGGCCAGCAGGAGGGTCAGGGGTTGGAATGTGGCCTGGGAGCTGCAGGGCCTGCGTACCGGTGTGGACAGGACAGGCTTGAGAGTCAAAGGTAGGTTTGGGCCTTAGACTGGGGTTCCAATAGAGGAACTGTAGGAGAGACTCAGCTGAGAAGTGAGAGGAAAGGTCTGAAAGTTGGAAGGGGAGAGGTGCGGGGTCTGGGTGGGAGAAACTTCCGGCTCTGCGGCCCGGGAGAGGTGCGGACCTGGTGCCTGAGTTGGGAGCCTTGAGGGCGGGGACAGGGGGTCAAGGTCCGAGTCTCGGGACCGGAAAGGACGATGTGGTCGGGGTGCGCTGGGGAAGCCAGTGCTAGAGGTGAAGCGTGGGTCTGGGGGGCGGGAGAGAAAAGTTCCGGGCTGGGGGGGGTCCCCACGAGGGGCGTGGGCAGGGAAACGCTGCTGGGGCGCGGAGAGGACGGAGGCGGAGGTGGGGGGCCCCGAGGGCAGCGGGCAGCTCAACTGGCGGGGCCGGCGGGGGGCGGCGGGGGCGGCTCGGCCCCCTTGACGCAGGCGGCCTCGCAGTGCTTGTGGAGGTAGGACTTGAGCGCGAAGCTCTTGTCGCACTGGCGGCAGCGGTAGTGCTTGAAGGCCGAGTGCGTCTGCATGTGCGCGCGCAGGTTGGAGCGGTCGGCGAAGGCCTTGCCGCAGTGCGCGCAGCCGAACGGCTTCTCGCCGGTGTGCGAGCGCATGTGGCCCTGCAGCAGCCAGGGCCGCGAGAAGGCCTTGCCGCACACGCCGCACTTGTGGCGCAGGTTGTGCGTGAGCACGTGCATGGCCAGCGCGGGCATGGACACGTACGCCTTGCCGCACGTCGGGCACTTGCGCGCCAGCTGGCTGTCCAGGCTGCGGTGCGTCTGCTTGTGGCGGCTCAGGTTCGACGACGTGGCGTACGTCTTGCCGCACTCGGCGCACGCGTGCCGGTGCCCGCCCGCCGGCGCCCCCGCGCGCCCCGCGCGTCCCCCGGCGCTCCCGGCGTCCCCCGCGCTGCCCGCGTCCCCGCCGCCCCCGCCGCGCCGCCGCCGCGAGCGCCCGTCCGAGATGAAGAAGGCGTCCATGGAGTAGCTGTCGGTCACGGCCGCCTCCCCGCGGAAGTAGCGCGCCGACAGGCTGGACTGCGGGCTCTCGGGGTCGCTGTACTCCTCCGGCGCCGTCGGCGGGTAGGCGGGCTCGGCAGGCGCCAGCTCCAGGCCCGGCTTCTGGTCGGCATCGTAGCTGCTGGGGGGCAGGCAGTGCGGGGCGTAACCTGCAGGGGCGGGAAGGGAGCGGGGACGAAGGTGAGGCGCCGCCGAGGGCGGGTCACTCCCCGCGCCCTCCAGCGTGGCGTCCCCGTGCTCGCTCTTGGGAGACGTTGGCTGCCGGTAAGACAGTGGTCTCTGTCGTGCACCTCCGCCCTGCCTGGGTTCAGATCGTTCCTCCTTGGGCCACGATGAAAACAACCCCTACGCCACCCTCTTGGAGCACGGTGCCCCTATGGTTCTACTGGCTGTGCGTTCACTGTCTTCTTAAGTGCTCACAACCACGCAGTGAAAGTCTTATTGTTACTACACCCACTTTACAGATAGAGACCTAAAGAGTCTAAACTCGCAGCTAGTAAGTGATGGAGCCAAGATTCAGACCTTCGCAGGTTGACGCCAGAGGCCATGCTGTCTTTATTGTAACAACATTCTGCTGTTCTGGTGCTTGCTATAACTTCTCTGAATCTGTTTCCTCATCTACAAAATGGAGCTTATATTTGGACAGTCCCTCCCAGAGTCTTTGGAAGGGCAGAGTTAAGTGATGAAAAGAAGCGTGTATTAAGCGTGCACCAGGCTCTGCCTCAGTGCTTTATGTATGTTAACTCATTCAACCCTTACAGATCCTGCGAAGTAGCTACTGTTATCACCCCCATTTTCCGTGTAAGGAAATCGGGAAAGAGAGAGAGAGAGAGAGGGAGTGAGCCCACAGTAATTGCTATATAAATGTTAGCTATTATAATTAGGCTTTTTACTTGCTTGAAAAAGTGATTTCACTGAAGATTATTTAATTGTCTGCCTCCCCCACCCGACTATGAGCTTCCAAGGGCTGGATCTGTGTGCCCAGCATGTGCCTGGCTCAAAAAAGGTGTGCAATGAGTAGATGTTGCATAAATGAATTAAAAATCCTGTTAGACCCACTTCACAGGATTGCTAGAGGATTTAAGAGGTCAGGTGTGTGGCAAGTAATAGGTGGTCTAGGAAGGGGACTTCCTTGTACTTGCTCCCAAGTCTGTTTTGCTCCCAGCTCCACTAGAAGCATTCTGGAGTCTCCCTGTGAGAATTCACCTCCCCCTCTTCCTTCCTCCTCTTCGGAGTTGGACCAGAAATCCTGTCTACCTTGGGTTTGTGTGATTGGTGGGCAGGCCGACTGAGGCTCTCCCAGGGGATTCCCAACTGCAGGGGCCACCCTGATTTGTCTCCCCCCTCTACCCCCCAGGGCCTAGCCTGGTCTTAGCACCCTCCCTGAGGACCCTGGGGTCTGGGCTCCCAGGGGAATTTCTGGCAGATACGCACAAACTTATCAACCTGGCACCAAGGTTGTGTTTCCATTGTCTTTTGATTCTGGGAGAACAATGAAGGTGAGGCCCCTTTCCAAGGTTTCAAGCTGGGGAATGGCAAAGCAGATTTGACCCTCTCCTTCTGACCTTGAGACCTATTCTCCCCACACCCCATCCAGCCTCCCCCACTCAAGAAAGCGGGTGGGAGAGGACTTTGTAAGCAGGGAACTGGATTCAGAGCTTTCCTTCCTTGAAACCGCTTGCCTCATTCAGACCCTGTACCTTTTCCTCTCATCTGAAATCTGGGATGGTCACAGAGTGAAGTCTGTGAAGACTGTCCCCTAGCCCTGAAGGCAAGGTTAGGCCCCTTATTTTTTCTTCTTTCCCTTCAGATGTTGGCACAGGACCCTCTGCACACTGAAGTGGTTGGGGATGGTGGGGGTGGATGACTCAGTAGGGAGGGGCTCTGGTTGCAGAGAAGGCAATGGTGCTGGCAGTTTTTTAATTGGGGAGGGAAGGTTGCCCAGCCTCTCAGCAGCCGATTCCTTCCCTCCTGTCTGCCTTTCGTCTGGAGGCCCCCCACCTCCCACTCCAGGAATCAGGCCTTGTACTCAGGCCCCAGGACATTCAAGGAGCATTGGTTTCAGACTAAGTGAAATACCTGTCGGGCACTCCAAGACCTCCTCTCTCTGCTATATTTCTTCCCACTGTAACTACTGAGAATAATGATAATAATAGCTAATATTTACTGAGCACTTACTGCATGCCAGGCTCTGTGCTCAGCACTTCACTCCCATCATCTGACCACATATCACAGAAACACTTCTATTACAGATAAAGAAATGGAAGTATGGAGTGGTGATGGTACTTGCTCAAGGGATGGAGCAAGGATTGGAACCCACTGCATTGCTCCCCTTGTTTTCCAAACCCCCAGAGGTCCCCAAGGAAGGGGCTATAGCTGGGTGGTTCACCCCCTATCCCCAATGCCCCATCTTGTGGGCACTCCGTAAGTATTTGTGAAATGGTGATAAAGATTTGCCAGGCCAACCTCACTCCCCAGCCCGGCAGGATCTGCTACAAGCCATTCTGTCTACCTGATCTTGGGACAACTTGATTCCTGGCAGAGATTCTGGGTGACCTTGAGCAAGTCATGCACCTCTCTGTGCCTCAGGGGATAGATACTATAGGATCGACTTGCAGGGGATCACTGGTCATGTGACCAGTGCCTCGCATATTCTGTTATGAAATAAGGATGGCATACTGGTTAAGGGCACCACCTTGGTGCCACGCTGCCTGAATGGAGTTCCAGCTTTACTGTGCCCAGCTGTGTGACCTTAGACAAACTGCTTGACCTCTCTGTGCCTCTCTTGCTCCAGCTGTGGAATGGGGGATAATGTAAGCATGCATACAGTTGTAGTAAGGAGTCCATGAGTAAACAAACAGTAAGTGAAAAATGAACAAATAATGATGAACATCCTAGAGTACTTAACGTGTTAGATGCTATTTTAAGGGCTTTATATACACGAATGCATTCCATCCTCATGACTCCAGTTGGTACCACCTTACACAGGTCAGGAATTTTAGACATAAGGTAATTAAGTAACATGTCCAGCAAGTAACTTAGAGCCAGGATCCCAGCCCAGTGTTGGGCACATTGCAAACCCCCAATACATGTGTGCTGTTATTATTAGTAATAATGATTTCCCCAGATGGGTTTCTGTGCGGCAGTTTTCTTGGAACCTGCCAAGACACATCTTGATGTTCTTCTCTGGGCCTCTGTTTCCTCAGGATGTGTAATTTCTACGTCATATTCAGGTGAGGAAACTTTTGGTGGGTAGTAAGAGTTCAATGAACCAGGCCAAGTCCTTGCTCAAATTGGGCTTTCTGCCCGTGGTGCCCTCTGGTGGCAGCCTGTAGCACTGCAGCACCGTATTCCAGTCGCTGGGGGGCTCTTTACATAGAAATAGGGGTGCCTCAAACAAAGGCTGCTCCTCTGCCTCGGGATGGATGCAGAACTGCCTTCAGGACAGGCTGTGCTGGCCAGACCTGATTCCCAGCAGCTGTGGAGCTCAGCACGGGTGGTGGGGGTGGGGGGGAGTTGGGGGTTATATGAGAATTTGCATGGTCATGTTAGGATGAGGTGGTTCTAACTTTCTTTGTGACCTTGGCCAGGTTACTTAACCTCTCTGGATTTGGTCTGTATAGGAAGAAGGTTGACTGGTATGCTTTAAAGACTCTTTCTGCACTGTGGCTGAATAGATCTTCAGGGAGGCCCATTTTCCTGTCCTCCACACCCCCAACCCCCCCTCAACTCCACCTCATCCTCCTCAGATCAGCCTAGACCTCTCCCTGTCTATGTGACCTTGGCAAGTTATTTACCCTTTTTGTGCCACATATGTATAAGGGAGCTCATAAGAGCATTAAATGAATTAATGCATATAAAGTGCTTAGTACAATGCTTGGCACACAATAGCCTCTCAGGCTGCTTTTATTATTGTCGTCATTATCATCCCTACATTTCCTGGTGATACCCTTCTAATCTACCAGGAGTAGAAGGAGACACACACAGGTGTCTCAGGCTGCTATGTGACCTTGGGCGAACCCCCTCACCTCTCTGGTCCTCAACCCTGGAGAACCCTTCAGAACACTCTAAGCTGTGCTCTAACTGTGCATGGAACTCAGATGGGTTTTAGACGCTCTCCTCTGCTCCACAGGTGACCAGAGATGGCTGAGCTGCCTGTCCTCCATCTGACAGGGTGAGACAGGGCTCTCCTGTTTGGGTCCCGATAGAGGCAGGAATGGCCAGGGATCCAGAGAGAAGGCCAAGGAATGCTCTCATCCAGGCTCTTTTACCCATATCCTAGCTGTGTGACCTTGAGCAAGTCACACAGCCTCTCTGGGCTCAGATCCCCTATTTGAGGGATAGGGACCAGAGCCACTCCTGCCACTTGGAAGGATACTTTAGAGATACGGAGATACCGTGCACATGTCATCAGAGAATGACTTCTGGTGTTTTCTGCCTACAAGTCTTAATACTTTAGGTGGAAGGTCCAGAATCCATTAAAAAATTAAGAATCCTGCTCCCAAAGGAGTGGTGGGAAGGGAATTTTGTGAAGATTAAGGTGCTAGGTGCTCCACAGACACAGTCTCATCCAACAGTCTGGGCCCTTGGGGTGAGGGCGGGGGCATCTCCGATAGATACCACCACTACTACCTACCACTGCTTCCCCTGAGCCTCCCCCTGTGCCAGGCACTATGCTATGCCCAGAGGCCTGGAGGCCCAGAGAGGGGAGAAGGTTTGCCCAAGGTCACTGGCAGAGGAGTTAGGCTTACAACCCTCCAGAGTCTGTTTTTTCCAAAATAGCCAAACTGGATGGAGGGTCCTGGGGGTGGGAAGTTTACAGTTGGTGGGGAAAAGGGGTAGTGGGTTTCTTCAGATAACACCACCTAGTTGGCCTGTGTCTGATGGGATGATGGGGTGTTGGGGCTGGGGAGCAGCTGCTTGAGAAAATGTTCCAGCCCCTTGTAAACTTTTGCAAATAAAAGTAATAAAAGTAATGATTGACACTTATTGAGCACTTATTGTGTACAAGGCGCCCTGTTCAGTGCTTTGTGCACATTAGCTCCTGTCTAAGGGAACATGATAGTCACTTCCTCCAGGGCCCTACAGAAGCTGAAGCCCAGAGAGGGGCCTTGACCCACCTCAGGTCACAAAGCAAGTTCACACAAGA